GCTCACCTTGTACTATCCCTGCCTCAGCTCTGTAACCAGCCTTTTCTTCAAGGAGCTCTGGTTCCTCTTCGTGGAGACAGTATTAAAGAATCGTGATCTGGGTGCTAGGTGGGCTGATTGCTATAGAAATATTGTTGCTTCTACCCACTCTCTATGGACAAAGCTAGGAAATAGATGGATGTACAGAATTAGAAAAAGGTAAAGATAAAGAATTATGAACAACGAAGTGATAACAAATACATATCTATCCACAAGTGCATCTTAAAATCAAATGAATAAAAAAATCTGATGAACAGAATAAATTGGTGAATGTAATAGAATCAGGGGCATGGAAAGGGAGTGGACTGACAGTTCTCAGGGTGGGGGAAGGGAGTGTGGGGGTGCGGGAAGAGAATGGACAAAGATCTTACACCTATGGATGAGGACAGTGTAGGGGGGAGGGGCGAGGGCCTGGGGTGGGGTGGGAACCAAGTAGAGAGGAGCTATGGGGTGGGGAAGAGGAACATCTGTAATAATCTGAACAATAAAGATTTTTAAAAAAGAACACGAGGAAGGCAGGATTGTGGAGGCAATGTGGTTGCAACAGAGATGTTAGCCCATCTATGGTGAGCTCGGCAGCTGGGATGGCCCTTCAGAGGGGCCTGTGCTTTGATATCTGTATGTTAGCTAACCACTGGGTAAGGGAAGTGCCCTGGGAGCAGGACTAATTTTGAGGCATTTCCCTTGGTCAATGGTGGGAGCAGAACTAATGTTCCCTGGGGCTGACAGCACTTCCTCCATGAGGGGTGGAGCCCAGAGCCATCAGCAGCCGCATTCCTAGCAGCTGGGGCATGCATGTGGGTTCTGAACAGGGGGTCAGGGTGGTGCATCACCTGTCTACTACACAGCTCAAGCTTCAGGGTCTTGCCTTTGTGAGGTCTGAGAGGAGGCCCTCTCAGTGTCTTCACATTGTCATATATTTTTGGAAACAAAATAGCTTTTAATTCCATTGCTTAAAATTAGTCCCTAAATTGTGCAAGCTTCAAGCCCCACTAATCCTGGATCTGCCCCTGAAAGGGAAAACCACTCAAACTAATCAATCCGTGCTGAGTAGAGTTCCCACCCAGGCTGTGCTGCTGTAACAAAGAGACCCTCACGACCAGTGAGTTAAAAACCACAAGTGTAATTCTCTGCCTCCTCAGGGGAGTGGCTCAGTTGGCAGGATGACCCTACTCAGTCAGCCAGGGGCCCAGGGTTTTGCTCCACAATCCCCTGGAGCGGGTGTTCTTAATCATTTTCATGCTCTGGACCTCATGCCAGCTTGGCAAAACTTCTCAGAAGAAAAGAAAATATACAGGGCAAAGGGATCCAATGTTCACTGTAAGGCAGTCATCAAAGTATTTTCAAATGTGATGTGGTAAGTTATGTGCTTCTACATCAATGTGTTAAATAAAAAATAACTCACGGCAGCTTTAATGGCTACGGTAGCTTACAAGTGGAGATGAGTATAAATGATGTTTTATGATGCCTGCTAGAAAATAACCCAATATGAAAATGTCTGTGATTTCTTCCCATGACAAAGTCCTAAGCTCTCCCAACACAATTGAGGTTTGTTGCCTACATTTGTAGCAGATGGGTGGTAAACCGAATCATGTCTCTCCAAAGACGCTCCTCATCCCTGGAACCTGTGGATATGGCCCCTGATGTGGTAACAGAGACGGTGAATGTGACTAAGGGTCCTGAGGTGGGAAGGTTATCCTGGGTTGTCCAGGTGGAGCCAAAGGATTTACAGGTTCCTTACAAGGGGGAGGCAAGAGGGACGGGCGGTGGGGGGAGGGACACTGGAAGCAAGAGATTGGAGATGGGAGCGATGTGAAGAAGGACACAAGCCAAGGAAGGCAGGTGACTTATAGGAGCTGAAAATGGCAAGGAAATGGATTCTGCTCTGAAATCTCCAGAAGAAACCAGCCCTGCCAACACCGTGGTTTTAGGATTCTGGTCTCCAAAATTGTAGAGTATAAGGCTGTAGAGCATTTTCATTTTGTTCTTTTCCTTCGGTGATGTTCCATTTTTATTTTACCATTTCAGTCATTTCTGAGTGTACAGGTTAGTAGTGTTAAGTATATTCTCTTGGACAGCCAATCTCCGGAACATTTTCATTTATAAGAATGAAACTTAGTACCCATTAAACAGCAATTGCCTGTGCCCCCTTCCCCAGCCCCTAGCAACCACCATTCTACTTTCTGTCTCTATGAATTTGCCTACTCTAAGTACCTCAGAGAATCATAGGGTTTTTTTCTTATCTTTTTGTGACAGACTTATTTCACTTAGCATAATGTCCTAAGATTCCTTTATGTTGTAGCATGTGTTAGAATTTCTTTCCTTTTTTAAAGGTGAATAATTTTCCATTGTTTGGATATTTCACATTTTGTTTATCCAGTCATCAGGTGATGGAAAATTTGTGTTGTTTTAAGTCAATAAATTTGTGGTAATTTGTTACAGAGGCCATAAGAATCTACTGCAGGAAGGAAATGTCAAATTTTGGATAGAGGTTAGTGAAAATAAAGGTTTTTTTTTCTACCCTTCCAAGTTCACAGGCCCACCCGAGTTCTCATGCCGGTTAGAAGCCCTGCAACGAGCCCTGTCCTCATCTGCACTGTGGAGCCTGGCTCTCCGCCGTGCCAGGTTCCAGGTAATGGGAAGGGGAAAGGAGCAGGGCTGCCCGCCCCAGGTTTGAAAGTCCAGTTCCTGGTGAGGTTGCAGTCACATGGCCACACCCAGTGTAGAGGATGCAGGAAATGTCATATTATACTTGGTGGCCCATTTCGGCCTCCATTTCTAGTTCTGAGCAAGGAAGGATGAGAGGGTTTGGGTGGACAAGGCAAAGTCAACTCCCAGATCCCCTCAAGGAACTCTCCAGGTGGGAGGAGTCAGGTGGCGGAGAGTACAGCCAAATTTCCACAATAAACCTCCGAGACAGGAGGCACTGGGGTTAGGGCTGCTGCCCTTGGCATGCATCTGCTGTGTAAACCTGGCAACTCTCGTGATCTCTCTGAGCAGCAGCTTTCTCCCTTTCAAGGTGGGAGAGAGAAGGGTACCTACCTCAGAGGTGTGAGAATTCACTGCTGTTGTGGGTGGAAAGCCTCCAGGACAGAGAGGAGCCGGGAGAGAATCTCTTCATTATACTCACTGTGCCCTGGCTGTTCCCACTGCCTGGGGTGCTGTTCCCCCAGCTGTCCCCAGGTTCCCTCCCTCCCTCCTTTAGGTCTTCAATCAGATGCCACCTTCCCCAACTGCCTTATAGAATGAAACCCCTTCTCTGCATACCTGACTCCATCTCCAGCTTAATTTTTCTCCAAAGCACTTCTTATTAGCTGACATCATATGTCTTTAGTTTATCATTTTGTTATTGTCTGACCCACCTACTGGAATGTCAGCTCCATGACGGGCAGGAAGGATTTGGGGTTTTGTTCACTGCTGGATTCTTGGTGCCTAGAAGAGTGTTGGCCTATAGTAGTTGCTCAATCACTACATTCTGGAATCAATGATTGACTGAACAGACAAACAGAGGGATGGGTTGGTCACAATCAGTTGGTTGAAGACCTTGGCTGTGCCTGAGATCCTGAGCAGACCCTCCATTCCTATTGGGGGCAGGTGGGACGGGGTAGGAGATCTGTCCTTTTCTTCACACTCTGCTGGCTCAGCCTCACTGACTTCCTCTTCCCACCAACAGAGGCCCTCACCTGTTGTTTCCCCTTCCCTAAGCAGCTTCCCTCTGGGAGCCTCAAGCCCCTTCATGGAAATGCTTCCTGGTATCCCCCCACCCCGCCCTCCACATTTCAGCAACCTGCAGAGAGATGAGCCTTCCTGCCCCACCGCCTCCTCATTTGGGAACCTATGACCTCTTCTTGTGGGGCTGGATCTGCCCACCCTGAGATTTGTCCCACTCAGGAGGTCACCCTCCTCCTCAGTTTCCCTATCCCAGGCTCCCCTGGTCCCGCCCTGCTCCTGGTCTCCCAGCCCAGGTCTGCCCTTGGCTCCATGCCAACCTCAGCCCCAGACCTCCTGTCTGTTGCGATGTGGAGCTGAGACAACAATTATATCCTAGACACAGTTGGGGTCAGAGCATCGGGAGACAGAGGCCAGAGAACCGGACAAGACTGAGTCCTCACGGTGGATGCTCTGGATCCAGGAACGAAGCCAGTGAGGGGCCTTAGGAGGATGAAGGACACCTTCAGGAGCTCCCCACTGACCCTCCAGCTGTGGCTGACCTCTGCCCTTGCTCTCCAGGAAGAGTCCCTTCTGCTGAGGAACCGGAGCTGCAGCTCCCGCCCACTCCCCAGGACCCGGGACCTGAGGCAGCTGCAGGTGAGTTGGGAGACTCAGGCCCAGCCCTGCCCTCACCTGGCCCCATTCCTCTGGCTTCTTAGGTGCTCCTTCCCCTTCTCCTTCTCACTTTTCTCTGTGTCTTTGCCCTCCCCAGCAGTCCCCCTCACCTCCTCTCCTCACCTGCTCACATTGACCTTCCCTCTCTCCTGTCTCCTGCCCTCACCTATTCCTTCCTCCGCCCTCCTCACCTGTTCTCTCTCACCTGTCTGTCTCCCTGCTCAGGTGTGGGAGCGCCCTGTGGCCTTGGAGGCTGAGCTGGCCCTGACACTGAAGGTCCTGGGGACCGTGGCTAACTCGACCCTGGGGGACATCCTGGACCAGCGCCTTCACACACTGCGCTACATCCACTCCAAGCTTCAGGCCTGTGTGAGTGCTCTGGGCTCCCAGGCCACGTCTGTGGGCTCTGACCACCCGTATGTCCCCGTGTGTGAGACCCTGTTCACTCACCACCCTCCTTCGCCCACAGGTCCCAGCTCAGTCCACAGCAGGCCCCAGGCCCGGGGCCACCTCTGCCAATGGCTGCACTGCCTCCAGGAGACCAGGAAGAAGGTGAGTGACTGGGGAGGAGAAATCAATGTCTGGGGGCAGCTGGGAGTCCAGACTTACAAGCCATTGACCTGTTCCTTCCTCCTCACAGGAGTCCCATGGCTACCTCAAAGCCTCTGTCACTTTCAATCTCTTCCACCACCTCACCCATGACCTGAAATATGTCTCCGGTGGAGACCTGTGTGTCTGACCCTGAGAGACACCTGCAACTGTCCCAGCATCTTAGATTTTATTTATGCACCAATTACCTCCCTTAGATTATTGCCTCCAGATGCTTATTTATTTATGAAGCCCCCCCGAAGATGTTTATTTTTGCACTTTCTATACAATGTATGAAAATAAACAACCTGTCTATGACATTGACCTGTTTATATGTGACTGTATGAATGAGTGCATGGCTGCATATGTGGCTGTGGCCCTCTGAGTGTGTGTACGAGTGTGGGAGGAGGAAGACAGGGAGTGAACAGGCATCAGGGAGGGTGGGAAAAAGATAGGAGGGGAAGCCCAGCTGGAGTGGCTCAGTGGTTGAGCGTCACCTTATGAACCAGGAGGTCACAGTTCAATTCCCGTTCAGGGCACATGCCTGGGTTTCAGGCTCAATCCCCAGTGTGGGACTTGCAGGAGGCACGTCATATGGATATTTCTGGTCTTAGAGTAGAAATAAGAGCATTGAAAACAGTGGACTGTTCACTGGCCCTCACTCTGCTAAGAAATTATATGAGGGAGAGAGGAGGTGAAGGATTGAAAAAGGGAGAGAATATGATGGAATGAATGAGGAGTGAAAGGATCACTAAGGATGTTTTTAGCCACAAGTAATGAAAGATATCATTGCAAATGACTTAAATATCACAAACAGTCATTACACCAAGTAATAAGATGTCAGATCAGCAGGACAAGAGCTTTATTATGAACCTAAGGTCAGTATCTGTATTTCAAAGGATATGGTTCATTCACCCAGACCTTCTGTGACCCTAAACCTGGGGTGACTATTGTCAGGGTGGAGATCTGCTGGGAGAAATGTCACAAAGACAGTTGTCACCAAAATGTCATTTAAGTTCCATTGTGGACATTGTTCTACACTGATAATTGTGCCATCTACAGTTTTATTTATTTATTTTCCAAACTATATGCCTTTTATTTCCTTTTCTTGCCTTATCACACTCGGTAGAACTGCAGTACTATGTTGAGTAAGAATGTTGAGAGAGGACATCTTTGCCTTCTTCCTGATCTTAGGAAAAAAGTATTTATTTTCTTCACTTAGTGTAATGTTAATTGTAGGTTTTTGGAGATGCTTCTTTTTATCAATTTGAGGAACAAATGCATTTTCTGCATTGATTGTTATAATAATGTGACTTGTCTTCTTTAGTCTGTGTTGGCGGTCTATATTGATTAGTTTTCAAATATTAAATCAGCATTGCATTTTGGAATGAAGTCCATTTGGACATGGTGTATACTTCTTTTATTTATTGCTGAGTTCTATGTGTTAATATTTTGTTAAGGATCTTTGTGTCTGTGTTCATTGCTTATTTTTGTGTGAGATAAAAAATTTACCTCAATTTTAAGCTAGTAGAGTTAGGATTTTCTGTTATTTGCAGCCAAAAACATTATTAGTGGTACACCTGGAAATGAAAGGCAATGTTCCCGTGGAGTTGAAGAATTCTGGCTGCATTGGTTGTTCTGCCCCGACCATTACCTGGGGCTGTGATTGGTATGAAGTAGCAAGGTGTCCACATATTCAGTATCCATAGAAGGGGATGAGAAGATGGATAACCGGGGCTGCATTTCAGGGAACCAGGCACTTCTACCTAACCTCAGGAGAAAATGACTTTGTCCTCCCCCTCACATAAGCTGCCAGGCAGATTCCTCACCATCTACACTGCTCTCCTACCTGTACCCACTTGCCCTTGCTCCCCTGTCAACGTGGATGAGCTGCCTTTCTTCCTAACTAGGGTCTGTGCCTGATCATGGTCCCTATTATGTCATCCCTCCATAAATTACCCCTCTCTTACTCCCTATTTTTCAAAACTTCCTTTCTACAAGTACCTGCCCATTAGCAGTCTCCCCCTTTATACCATCCCTTTCTTAATCCATGCTCTTTTCTCCTGCTACTACTTCTCCATCTCTCCTTTCCACTGGCTCCACTTCCTTACCCACTCCAGTCTCCACAGCCCTGGCAGCTGGTTTCTGCTCCTAGAGCTCCACTCAACACCAACAATCTCTTCATAGCTAAATCCTGTGATTGCTTTTCCAGTTCTTAACACAGGAGGCCTCTCAGCAGCATCTAACCCATTCCTCATCAACTCCTTCTTGTAGCTGTCTCTCACGTTGACTTATGTGATATCACATTCTTCTTGTCTTTATTTAACTTCTAGCTGCTGCTTCTCAGTCACATTTTCTGGTTCTTTCTTCTTCCCACCCCTTAAGTACTGGAGCTTCTCAGGGTTCTGTCCTGAACTCTTGTTTCTCTTCCCTGTTTACTTCTCTCTGGGGTCATCTCAGACTCCCTGGGGATAACCTGGAGCTGGAGACCAGCCACCTTCTCGATGATTACCCTTGTATCAGTCCACTTACATTGGGTTATGCTATAGTAACAAATGGCCCTTAAATTTCAGTGGCTTATAACAACAAAGGGCTGTTGGTCAATCATGCAATGACCATCTTGGGTAGGCCGAGTCTCAGCTCCTCATGAGATCCGAGATGAAGGTGCAGCTCTTGGATATTTCTGGTCTTAGAGTAGAAATAAGAGCACAGTGGACTGTTCACTGGCCCTTACTCTGCTAAGAAATTATATGCACTACTTGACCCCCCACCCCCATTTCATTGGCCTAAGCAAGTGACATAACCAAGCCTGAGGTCAACAGAGCAAAGATTTGGATTCCTCACTTCTGAAGGAAAGAAGATATCTAGAAAGATAAGATAGTTGAACACATCCTAAATTCATATCTTCAACTCTGATTTTAAAGACAAGGACAAATTAGCTTCATTATTGTTCATACAAACCAACTCAAGTTCAGATCCAAATTGGACCACCTAATAAGCCAATAGCAACAAAGACTCTGACCTTAAAGGGTTCTTTGCCATCCTCTGAATAGTGATTTGTATATAGGGACTAGTGGAAACCCCAAGAAAAGAGCCAGTCTGCAGGGCAGAGAAGGCCGCACCAGTGGGATGCTCTCCATGGTCTTGAACATCATTGTCCGCTAGACTAGAGCAGGGTGGTTTCTCCCACCCCTGGGACTTTGGTGGATGCCTGCTAATTCCAGCACTTGTAGATTTTTGAAAAATGAAATGTTGTCACATCACATACGGTTTTAAAACAAATAGAACTATCCTACTGTGTGTGAAATACGTTTATCAGGGATTTTTTCCTTAAATAATGGAAAATCCCAACTCAACTTGCTTAAACCAGGAATTTATCATCTCAACAAGAAGCCTAAGGGTGAGATAGATCAGAAGCTGGCTAATTTAGGAAATCACATTAATGCTAACAATAATCCAGATTCTTCCCATTTTTCAACCTGGCCATTCTCAGCATTTCAGTCTCCTCCTCAAGTTAGAGCTCCTCATGGTCACAAGGTGGCTACCAGAGTTCCAGACATTGCATCCTCTTGGCAATGTCCAGGGAAAGAAAAGAGACAACATCTTACCATGTGGTTTTTTTTTTCCACTGAGGAAAATTATTCCCCAGAAGACCCCTAGAAAACTTAGCCCATACTAACATCCCATTAAAAATTGCAACCCCCTGCGTGTCCTCATATCCCTTACTCTGCTCTACTTTCCTCCCATAGTACATATCACCTTCTATATCAAATTTGCTTATTGATTATGTTGTTGTTTGTTATCTCTCCTTTCTCTCTCTCTCTCTCTCCCCTCCATCAGGACAGGGATTCTTGTCTGTCACCTCTATGTTACCAGCACCCAAAACAGTGCCTGGCACATGGTAGATGCTCACTCAATGTTTATTGAAAAAAGTGAATGACCATCACATAATATAAATAAAAATATATTTAAAAAAATAAAATAAAAATAATGTTATTGATTTCAGAGAAGAAGGGAGAGAGAGACACAGAAATGTCAATGATGAGAGACGTGACAGAGAATTGAACTATGACCTCCTGGTTCATAGGTTGATGCTAAACCACTGAGCCATGCTGGCTGGGCAGACATTCTCCTTTCTAAGTCAAACTCCTCTACTTGGACCCTGGATCCCACCCCTTCCTCACTCAACAACACCCTTTACAATTTATCCCCCTTAACCAGCGTCATCAGTTTTTCTCTGTGTATTTTTATAATTTTTGTTAAAGAAATTATATCTCATCTCCACATCCCCCTCCAGCTACTATCTCATTTCTCTGCCTCCCTGTATTAGTCAAGTTTCTCCAGAGAAACAGAACCAACAAGAGATATATCTATATCTATTTACCTATCTATGAAGGGAGAGAGAGAGAGAGAGAGAGAGAGAGAGAGATTATGATGAATTGGCTCACACAATTGTGGAGACTAAGTCCCAAGACCTTCAGTTAGCAAGCTGGAGACCAGGAGAGCCAATGTGTGGTTCCAGTCTAAATTCAAAGGCCTGAGAACCAGGGGATCCCATGGTGTATGTACCAGTCCAAAGCCAGGAGGCTTAAGATCAAAAAAGGCAACGTTTCGGTTCTAGTGCAAAGACTATACAAGACCGATGGCCCAGCTCAAAGTTGTCAGGCAGGTGGCATTCTCTCTTTTTCTTCTTTCAGGTCATCAAGTATATGCTGAATCTGACCATTTTTCACTTTGTCCACTGCCCCCACTGGTCGTGTCTACCCCCTCCCACCTGGATCATGGCAGCAGCCTCATCCCTGAGCTCCCACTCCTGGCCCCAACCCACCAGTCTGTTCCACACATGCAGCCAGAGGGACCCTGTGAACACGTGAGTCAGATCAGGTCTCTCTCCTGCTCAGAGACCTCTCCTGGCTCCGTCACACTCAGGGTAAAGGACAAAGTCCTTATATAAACTCCCTCTGTGACCGCTCTGACTCCATCTCTTCCCCTTTCCTCCCACCTCTCCACTCCAACCACACAAACTCCTTGCCATTCCTCCAATACGCCTTTGCACTGGCTGTTTCCTCTGCCTGGAGTGCTCTCCCCCCAGTATCACCATAGCTCCCTCCTTCCTCTCCTCAAGTCTTGGCTCAAACGTTTCTTTATTTT